GGGGTGGGGCGAGTTTTCAACGGAGGCTGACGAACGACCGAGAATTGGGGAAGGCGGGGGAGAGTGGTTAGTGGCGATACGTCGACGATCGAGGCGTCGTTTCGCCGGTGTTTAATGGGGAAAAAATTAATGGGGCGGTGATGAGATAGGCTCGGCGGAATAAGGAATTATTTTATACATTTTCTCTTATTTCAGGAATTTTCTTTTCTCTTTTATGTGTGTGTGTGTGTATGTGTTAAATCGAATCGAGAAGATATTGAAATTTGATGATGAAGATGTTTTAGATTGTTGAGAATGAGAATTATTATTTTTTTGAAATAAAAATCGTGGTATAAATAATAAGAATTATAATGTGTTTAAACGATCAAATGATCGAACAGGTTTTCATATTTTTCGCGATGGTTCAAGATGGGTTATTCTTAGAAACTTTTAAACTGTTATCATTTTAGATTGTCATTATGTCGGATAACGAATTGGTTTTCTGTTAATTGTTGTCTATCGTATAACCATCGGCCGTCAGTGACTTAATTAACGAGAAGAATTGGGAGTGAAGGGAGGAGAATTTATTAAATTGATAGAGAAAAAGCCTCCTCCGTCCTATGGTTACCGTGTTTAACGTTCGGGGAGGGGGTAGGGGGATAGGGAGAGTATGTGATTAAAATTAACCATACGGTAATTACATTTTTCCTACAAAAGAGGATTTATTTTTGGCGGCACACGATTTATTGATTACATTCGTGTTATTGGTATGAAAGTCTGATGAAGCTTGGAGGCTCGATGAATTCGCCGAAATGTAAATTCACCCATTAAGAAAATATTGAAACTCGGAGGACCATGTATATAAAGATAAAATCGATAAAAACGATTAAACAAAAAAAAAAAAATTAAACCTATATATATCAAATCTTCCAATCTTAAAAAATAGAAACTACCAATTATAAGTATCGAATATCAAAGTGTAATAATTATGCATATTATTTTTAAACGATTTTCACAAAGCCTGCCCTGGCCAACATTACGACCGATCGAAATGCAAGCTCGAGTTCCCGAGAACTCGTCAAAGCATGCTGAAACGAAAAAAAAAAAAAAGAAGAAGAAGAAGAAGAGAGAAAGAAGAAAGGGGGCAAGGGTGGAAAAAGGAAGCACAAAGCTTTCAATAACTGAAGACACGCGACACAAATTAAAAGGCGACCGTTTCAAAGCGGTCACAAATATCGTAATTGCTTCTCTTGCGCCAATTTACCACCGCTTTCAATAATCTTAATAAACCCTTCCGCCTCCAAAGGAAACGTTATTATCGCGCGCGTGTATTGCAGGCGAGAAAAGCTGACTGAAGAAGAGAGGAATACCCCCGGTTGAGAATAGGATGAAGAGGGAAAACGTGGAATCAAACCCGGCGCCGAGGGTTAACTCGAACACGTATTCCCCGCATACATATAGGTGAGAAGCCGAACGAAGGGAGAAAGAGGGTGGAACAAGGTGTACGACTGTGAACAAGGACAAGGATTATTTACTCGATGCACATGAAATTTCGTTTCTACGAAGTTTGAATTCTGTAAATTATTATCAAATATATGATAAAAAAGAAGAAATAGATCAAGCGTAAAAATCTAAGGATTTAAGAGAGGTTGAAAGTTGAAAGTTTAAAGTTCAATCGTTTCTAGATGCAAACTTTACAAAGATATGGAATATCGAGTATTGCGGATATTTGGATATTTTTTAAAAAAAGATATCTTTCAAATTAATTATTTTTTAAATAAAGTTATCTTTTAAACTTATTTTTTGAGAAAATAATCAACGTTCAAGGTAGATTACTTTTTAACAAAAAACTAGTTACCTAGAAGAACTTTATTCAGCAATTCAAACAAGAATAAACAAGAGGAAACAAGAATCAATCATGATTCTCGAGAAGAACAGATGAAGAAATGAAAGAGGCTCGACGTGTCATGCCGATCCTCTCTCCCTCCCTCTCTCTCTCTCTCTCTTTCTTTTCTCCAAATATGAATCAGACACTCTGAAAGCGTGCTTAGTCACCCTCTGTTGCCTCTCCTCTCCTCTCTCTCGAATCCATCGTCTCGAATCGATCGGAATAAATCAGCCAATCGAATATTTATTAGAAACTCCTTACCGGTTGGCATTAAACGAGCCCATCTAAATCTCGAGGCCGTGCAGGCACACATATTTACCCTGCTGTATACGAACTCACGGAGGGGGAGGAGGAGGAAAGATCAACCGAGGACGCCGCTCTTCGAAGAAACGAAGAGGAACACGAGCGCGAACTTGGAAAAAACGCGTGGAAACGCGGGGCAGCAGCTGTTGGGTCCATTGGAAAAGTAAGTAGAGGGGAAGAGGAAGTGGAAAACGGAGGCAAACGGATCGGAGGAGGAAATAAACAGTGGAGGGGGTGGAGGATTCGTGCGTGGGTGTGCAGCATCGGGTTCGAGAGTGTTGGCGTTTTACACGATCGTGTAGAAACGTTAAGAAAGAAGGAGAGGAGAGATCTCGGGGGAGAGAGAACAAGGAGGAGGGGAAGTGAGGGAGAGGGGGAGGAGGAGGAGGAGAAGAAAGGACAGGAGAGATCTCGGGGGAGAGAGAACAAGGAGGAGGGGAAGTGAGGGAGAGGGGGAGGAGGAGGAGGAGAAGAAAGGACAGGAATCGTGGGGAGCGAGGAGGGGGAGGGTACATCAGAAACCTGATTTTAATTAGTCCACAGTTTAATTACTCGGCAGATAAATCGTGCACGTGCACCGCATAAACTAGCCGCTTTCATTTTTCCTGGACGCGGCAGGCGCACGGTCGCGCGCTTACTTCTATGCCGCGAGAATGCGGGATGGGTCATTGTTGCGAGGCAGGAGGAGAGAGAGAAAAAGAGGGGGAGAGTGGAGAGAGGAATGACTGCGTTTCAAACCGTCATCGAATCGGATGGATAATTGTAGGGAGGGTTAACCGGTTGATGGATCAGCGGACTCGATGATCCACGTCCTGCATTTTCCGTCGCGATTTTGTAAATATATCGCGTTTGGAATTATTTTAAGAACGAGAGGTAATGAAATAGAAGCGACGAAGTTTTATAATTTGATTAGACCAGTTTTCAAATTTATAATTTCGATAATTTCCCGATGAAATGAAATTTTGAAGTTGAAGTTTAAATAAATGGCGACGAATTATAAAAAAAATATTCATTTTACGTTCGTATCATAGTGCTAATTATTTCTTCCGTTACAATCGTTTTACACTTTCGTCACACAAAAGAAGAAAAACTTATGAAAACAACGAATCTTACGAACATAAAACTTGAAAGAATAATATTTTCCTCGAAAGAGCACACAGCGTTTCGTTTTATCGCGTGAAAATCATCATCGCAT